TGTTCACATCATTAAGTAAGGCTACGTGGAGTTAAGCTTTTGTTTTTGTGTTTAGACCCCTACATAAAGTGATGCAGTTTCTAGAAGAGTTAGGTATTCATAGCTTCTACTGGTTAAATAGAGTTTAGAGATTGCTCAGCACCTTTGTAAATCAGGACACTATTATTAGGTCCTTTAGTATGGATTTAAGAGTCTAACATGAGCCTGCCTTGTCTGAATTTTTTGCCCAAGTTGTCAGAGAAAAGACCAAAATAGTCATTTTTAGTTTATTCAGCTGATTGCATTTGGCAGCGTACAGGAAATAAATGGGGGTTTTAAAATTTGTTTTGAGAAATAATACTAAACACAGACTAATTTTTGTTGTTTTTTTGTCTTTTAAGTTCACTACAAGGTACATTAACATCCCATTTCAAGGTAAGATGCTATATATTACTATATAACCTCTTAATAAATCCATTGCAGGACACTTGAAACATTTCTGTTTTAGCAGTTTTACGTAAGAGTTCAGGTACTGAAAACTTAGTAGCTTTCAATTATTTACTTTTTGTTGCTTATATGCTACAATGAAAGATCCATTATGAATATAGGATCTATATCGTAGCAACAGTTATACCTAATTTTAAATATGCAAGTACTTTCATTGAAATAAGTATGACTACTGAGGTGGTTGAATCTGTGCAGGATTTGGGCCTAAGCAAATGCCAGTTTTGAAATGTTACAGAGTTAAAGAAGATTTCTTAACCAGGGAATCATGAAGTGGTATTTTGGAATTGGGTCATTTTCATGGGTGGATCCAGGATTTTGAGAGGGGATATGTAGATAGTACAACTTCACATATAACATGACACACTTTTCTTCAGGTAAAAAGAAACTAAAAGCTTTACTAATATGCTAGGAGCCTGGGGCTGTATTATTCAGTTGAAGATCAAAGCAAAAATTAACATACCTTTACTGGAGTGTATACTCATTTGCTAGATCATACATTAAGTTTAGAAAACGCAACAAACTAGGCGAAAGCAGCCAAAATATATTGTTTTATTAGTCCTTTAGTCCATTAGAGTTAAATGTATATCTCTCACTCACATTCATAAAAGAAAATTTAGTCTTCTGGAGTATCTTGACAGTGCATTCTTCACTGTTGGTCAGTTCCACACTTGATATAATGTTTGTCTGAGTAACTGTTATCACACCAGAGTTAAGGTTTTTACCTAGGACTGTCTGCAGGGCTGTTAAAGAGAGAGAGAGTGATTACCATGAATGGCTAACAGACACAGCGGAAGAAAGGATAACTTGATTAATGGAATATCTAGACCATTAAAAAGGCTAGAGAGTCATTAGCATCTGAGATTAGCAGGAATCAGACAGATTACCCTCAGACTCCCTCAGCTATGCCTTAATAAAAATGCTGCTTCTCCTTCCAGGCAGCTGCTTTTAAAGTTTAGGTGGAGCAGGAATCAAAGTGGGGTACAACTGTGCTACTGCATCTTCCCTGTATCCTCCCTTGGTCAGTTGTATTAGGTCAACTATTCACAGCTAATAGAGATAAAACTATAGTTTATAAAAAATGTTAGTTTGTCTTTCTTAACTGACTGGTGAGCTGATGGAAAGGAAGTGGATAGATTTACTGATAGAATTCAAGTTTAATATAATTGGCAGAGAATTAATGTAACTGAGGGAAAAAGAAGTTGGGGGGGTTGTTGTTTTTTAATAACCCATGTGTGCACAGCTGTACTTTGGTATCACCTGTTAAAGGTAGACCTCTTGGGTAAGTGAACAATTTATACTTTATACAGGCTGTACAAGTTTGATACAGTGACTTGAATGAAGGCTGCAATTATAGCTTTTAATTTACTAATCTGACTTCCATTTGTTTCAACCTTAATGTGCAATTACTATAGTGAGCGTGTGTCTTGTTTCCTACAGTGGCTTTGAATAAGATCATAGAATTGTCAGTGGATACTGTCCACCTAAGAAAATTTGGCTTGTGGAGGAGTACTGATGACTCTCCCGCTGCAAAGAGTAAAAATCTCATTCTCCTTTGGCTGTCTGCGGACTGTGTGGAACAGATTGAAACCCAACTAGGAATGTCTGTTTCAAGGAAGCCATGTAAGTGTGATAGAACTATCAATGGCCCCTTTTAGACATTTATGAAATTATGGGAGAAGAACCATCACTACAGAAACCTTTTGAGGGAATGATTTAGCTGATGTAAAAGCTTCTGACTCCTGAGTTGCATGAGTGTTGTTACAAGAGAAAGGAAGCCAGTGATGAAGACGTCAGAGACATTCTCTCTCGAGACTAACCTGAGCTTACAATATGGTGACCCACAAATGTAACACCAGACAAGTGTTATTACTGAAACTGTGCTGGCAGTTTGGTCTCTTAAAGTTAAGCACAAACTTAACTCTTAAATGTACTTGGAGAGAAAATATAAAGTAGGCATTGTCTTTTACAAGAAGCATGGGGATTGTGTAATATGAGATGCACAGGAATCTGTGGTCACCTGGGAGTTTTGTTTACGGCTGTCACTGACCTTAAGAATTGTGACATTAATAGGAATTGTGAGTCTAAATTCTCAACATAATTCTAGATATCTTAGTCTAATTTATTTTGAAGTACTTCTGTTTAACAGTAATGCATAAGGGTTTCCAATTAAGCTTTTATGCTTAGCTGCTTTGTAAAGGGGACATTCAGGAATCTGTTCTGGGGTCTTACAGACTACAATTCTTACTTCTGTTTCACCATTCCAGGCTGATCTACATTAATGTTCTGCCCTTTTTCCTTCACAGCCAATTCTGATGAATTCCTATTTCTTGAACTATTACAACCATTAATGGAACAAGAACAAATTAAGCTAAGTGAGTTGATTACAGAAGTGGGCAAGAAAAACCAGGCACCCGATCTCTCTGACTTCTTGTCTTGGAAGCAGGTGTTATCTTTGTTTAAGGACCTGTCCCCTGAAGACAGCTCTTTTATGAAATATCACCATACCTTGTTTCAGCAGCAGTTGCAGAAGGAGAGTGCCTCAGTTCTGCCTGACCCTGTACCTCAGGTTAGTACATGACCATTGCTTGGTTCGTTAGAGCTGCATCACTTGGCATTAGAGAAATCAAGTTAGCTTACCTTGTGCACAGTAAATAAACTATGTAGGTGTACTGTGTAGCTAAAAGTCTATAATGTTTGCTTGTTTATCCCCCTAAATGGAGCAACATATATATGAAATGCTAGATAGTACCCCATGATAGTACATAGGAGGAGAGTTCCAAGAGGCCTTTCACACATCCCCTGGAGCCCACTATCATTATAAGTCCTGAACAGAAACTAACCCATTCCCTCCTACTCCCTCCAGGACTGCAAGTGGCTTCAAGAAAGAATCGAAGGAGATAGATGCTTATAATTCTACCCATTACTGCAATCTCCTGAGCTAGCTAAGCACAATAAAAGGAGGGCACTGCTCACTTTAAGGAACAGTGCATCTTTCCTGTTCCCTGTGGGCTCGGAAGGTCTAGTTCAGACTGTACAGCCCCTCCAGTGATCTTATGGAAATGGGTAGTGGGTTCATTGTACAGCCTGCTCCTAAGATGTACCACTCCAATGCATAAAATTCTCAACAATTAGTTCCAAAATTGGAAAGACATGTTCTAGTCAGTAGCCCTTTGGTACCCAGAGGCAGAGGTTTGCCTGATTTGTGAGACCGGAAAATCCAAGACATCATCTGTTTTGCTCACAGATCTCATACCATCTTTTTTCCAGACATAAGAAATAACTGCTGCTCCCACCAAATCCAGTGGTAACTCAACACATCTGCTGTGGTAGCTCTGTCCTTTTCATCTCCTTTTCTCCACCAAAACTAAGATTAGGGGACCCATGTCACATGACTGACTGACATCTTCAAACTGTCCTGAAGAGATGCGCTTTGTATTAGTGGGAAGTAACTACCACATTTTTTCACATACACACGCCTCCAAATATAATACGCACCTTGCTTTTGAAGGTAACGGTGTGTGTTGTATATGCAAGAAAATCCAGTATTATTATCTGTGGTGTTCTATCTGACTTCTTTAGTTGATCAGTGGTACACATATATAACTTCCAATTCTTGCAAGTGAAAAATTGTGAATTTTGCCAGCCAGCAAATGCAGCTGGTGACAGCATATGTTCCATATTGTAAATGGCTATTCATCAAAAATAGCAGAGTAGATTTGTGCAGGCCATAGGTTTATTATCAGCCTCCTGCAGTGTGCACAGTTGTGTATAAAGATGATTTTTGTTTGTTTTTATGGCAGGAATCTAAAGTAAATGCAACCAAGCCCAACTATGCTCTTTTGCATAAGCAGAATAATGGTCACTATGCCATTTCTCTGTCATCTAAATCAGATGATAAATGGAAAGAAATAAGAGAAACCGGACCTGTTGAGAAGTATGTATGTTCTGTTTAAGTAAGCAGTTACAAAAAGGCCTCTGATTTCTAGAAGAAAAGTACTGGTTTAAGTAATATTTGTAAATTAGTTGGAGATCTCTGCAGAAAAGCTACTGTGGAAAGATTAAATATTTCTATTCTAAATTAACCTAAAATGCATGTGGTTGTAATCTGTGCCAATAAATAAGAAGTAATGTGTGTATATCCCATGTGGGGATTTTAAGATCTTTTAATTAAGAGAGAGAGAATACTTGTATTAAGGGCTCAGTCCCTATCATTGCTAGATTCTCATTGATTTCCTGAGAGTACCATTTGTGTCTAACTCATCCCTTTAACGATGAACTGCTATTATGAAATATGTAAACTGTTCGTCTGCAAAAATGCCAAGTTTGGAGTCACATAACTTATCTCAGGACATTCTTGGAAGAGTATAAAGCAGTTGTAAAATGAAGAAAAAAATATTATGTAATGTAGCAAGATATTAGAGTATATGCCTGGCACTGACACTGCTGCTATACCTATGTTGCTATATCTGTCTCTTACTTCTCCTGCTTTATAATTGCGTGCAAACCAGAAAATGAATAGATTCAGGGTTTTTTCCTCTTATTTTTGGAACTTGTCAGTGTCAGTCACTACGTGTTATTGATTCACATTTTATGTTGTCCTAATACTTGTCATGTCTAAGTAGAAAGACAAACAGAAGCATTGCAGTTTTGGGAATAAAGTATTAACAAAATCCCGAGTGTTTTAATTACAGTTCTTATGAAAGCACATAGATTGAACAAATGTGCTCTCATGCTTTCATTCTTTGAATGTGACCATTTTAATTCTGCATTTCTTATTCCTCTTATTTTATCATTCCTTTGCAACTTATTGCTAAATCCTGCATGTTGTATAGAGCACAAAAGTCTTAGGTATATATTTTGGAATCTTAGAAATGGTTGATATGTTAGCTCAAAAAAAATGAAGAAAGAGGAAGTGACTTGTGAGTTCTTAATAAAGTGGAGATGTAATGGTAACAATGGAGAACAGGGAGCCAGGTTAATTAGACAAGTTGAATAATTCAGCTCTGCTGAGCATGTAAATGCATTTGCCTGAACTAACACAGTCCATAAACACTTGTATCTAGATCAGTGATTCTTAAAGCACTCTGGGGTGCCTTGAGATCTATTCAAGGATGCCATTTGCTTTCACACAATGGTAGTACCACTAGGTGTGCAAACATGATTCCCAAGATAAACCCTGATGGCATTTATACATGTGCTCCAGGAGGGTGGTGGGAGGGGGGAAGGGCTGGTGCTTTAATTAGAAAGGCTGCAAGAGCTGCTCTAATTAAAGCACCTGCAGCATCACACGTATCAGCGTCTCCACACTGAAAAATGGTGGCAGGGACGCTTCATTAATGCTTGTCAAATCAGCTCCAGCTCCATGCTCTGTAATTACAACGTGTCAGAGCAGCCTCTATGCATGTATATAGCTGCCCAGAGTTTTCACATAGAAATGCATAGTGTTAAAAACATTCTGACTTGTTTTGGTCTTTCTGAGCTCTCTACAACAGAAGAATTGCTCTGTTACTTTTTGTGGTCAAAAAGAGTGAAGCCTAAGAGGTAGTATTTTCCAAGAGGCGCCTTTGAATTTAAAAATGTTGAGATTCACTGGTCTAGGTAATGAACATAATTTTCCTTGGCAGTTTTCACCACCTTCTGACTTTCAGCAAATATGAATTCTTTGTCAATTGCCTGTTGGAATCACAGTACATCATGTTAATATCACTTTTGCTTTCCAGTTTGATTGTTTATCCTCCCCCACCTGCCAAAGGAGGACTGGGAGTCACAAAAGAGGATCTTAAGTGTTTAGAGTATGGAGAGTTCCTCAATGATGTCATCATTGACTTCTATCTGAAGTAAGTAATAGAAGGGAATAAATATGTTTCACTCTTGGATGGATTGGGCTTTTTTTATGAGTAGTTAAATAGTTCATGAGCAGTTACAAAAGAGGAAAGAGGTAATCTAGTTGTGGCATGCTCCATCTGCCCCACCATTGCAGCATTCATGATCCATGCCTGATACCTCAAGGTATATAGAAAAAACATTTAAAGGTGTGTCTATGGCCGAATCGCTGGTTCTCTGAATTGGCCGGCATCAAATCTTCAGATTTGGATTCGGCCAAATTGAATTGGACAGTGAGCCGAACCAACAGATCAAATCATTGTCCCTGATTCGGGCCTAATCTGCATCTGAATCGAATACAACCCGTTTTGCACACCCCTACTGGCAGTACAGGACTGCATTGCAGAAGCTGTCAAAAGTTGGATGTTTCAAGAAGCTAGATGCTTAGGAGGCTTGCGGAGAGAGGGAACTGTTGCAGATTTGGACAGGTAGTCTGGCATTGTGAGATAAACATGTTAAGTGGATCAATATAAATAAACTTCTGCATACTCCATTTAACTGCTTAGCTTTAGAAGTGAAGAAAATAGGTTTTGCATTTACCCAGAATATATATTTAACTGTCACATAAACAAGGCTCGGTAAGCAGAGAGTGCCATCAGAGCTGTGGTACTAGTAGCCCCCAAACTTCCTAGTTCACTTCATTTTCAAGGTTTCTCATCACTTTCTGGACTACTGTTGACAGTGGTGGGAAATAGCAGCCATGAAACTATCTTTCTGCCACTACTTTCAAGGCTTCTAATAAATGTCCTTTGACAGCTGCCCCCACTTCTGTGTTTCTGGTGTGGTTAAGCAAAATACAGTTAGTATAATAATATAGACCAGTCAACAGCCTTAATTCCAGCCCATGAAGGTTTAATTTGGAAGGGAGTGTGGGAGGAGAAAATGCCAATTTAAAGGGACCTCATTAAAGTTGTGACTTAAAATCTCCTTGTCTTTGTCCTTACTGTCAAATTTGCCATTCCCTGATGGTGTTTGATATGGGTTTCAGCAGCACCCAGTAAGCAGAGATAGGCACTGAGTAGAGAGGGGTTTGGAGCAGCAAAGGATCAGTGGTTGGGGGTAGGGGATCAGCAATCTGTGGTGATTGCTGGGTCTTAAGTTCCCAGCCCAGTGCCCTAAAAGTTTGCCAACCTCTGAACTGTTACTATTGTAATTAAGATGCAGTTGATAAAGCGCAGCGTGTAGACAGTGGGGATGAAAGATGATAGTCATTTAAGCAGTTTTTGCATTCAGTTGATATTCACATAACTGATGTTTCCTACAAAGTAAGTAACAGGCAACAAATGGGGACCGGCATTGTGCTATGCAGTTAAGTAACTTATGCACATACCTGGTATAGATGTAAGCAAAGCAGCAAAATAATTAACATATTGATCATTTAACTTGTAACTTTGAGGTTTCTTAATGAATAACCCATTGAGGTGAATGGTATGATTTACACTACTGACCTTTTGTTTCACACACTACAAACTCTGGAAGGTAACACTGTATTGGTGTTCATATTTCAAATGTTCAAGCTCATCTTAATTATGTTTCTAGTTCTTGCAACTATTTAAAAAAAGTTGACTCTGGAGCACAAATCTCAAGGCTATGTAGCTGTGTTCATATTAACTGCTTGGTGTGTACATATTACAATGATGGCTATCTATACACATACGTAAAATTACACAGAAAATTTTGGTATGGTTAGCAGCTGTGTGAAGGTAACTGGCTTCTAGGTTAAAGTAGCAGTGGTGTCCTTTAATTTTTATAAATGATGATTTTTTTCAGGGAGAACGTGGCTTTTACACAGGAAGTAAATATTTGCCTTTTTCATTTCTTTTCTAGATACCTTTTATTGGAGAAAGCACCAAAGCATCTTGCTGAGCGCTCACATGTTTTTAGTAGCTTCTTCTATAAGTGCCTGACCAGGAGAGAGAAAAACTCTGAGAGAGATCCAAAGCTTTCGTAAGTTTATTTGCAGATGCCATAACATTACTGGTCCAAACTAAACTATTTGTTACGTATACACACAAGTACTGAAGGAGGTGGTCTTAATTTAGGGATTGACGTGGGAAGGGAGGACAGGAATGATAGGATGTCATACAACACAAATTCATAATGAAGCAGTATTCAAAGACTGGTGCTCTTCCTGGATCCCTCATACTTTCCATAAAGTGTCCTTTGGCTTGTAGCATTCCAAATGCTTTTAGGTCTTCCAGATATGTTGTCAGAAACAATATAGGATAGTAGTCTTTTAATTAAAGTTTTTCTGTGATTAGGGTTTGATATGAATACAAACTAATATAGAACTGTTACTGACTCTCTTTTTATTTGAATCTGGATTTTGGGCAATTTTCTTCACTACATTTTCATTCCCATTCTACCGAACATTCATGCAAGTGTACAGGGAGAGGGGACGTCTTTGGGGTTTGTATTGTTCTTTTTTTGAAGTGTAGGCTTAGCACATGTAGCACTGTTTCTTATTTATGAAGCTTACATGGTGATCACAGATTGCTGTCCTGTTTTATGTAAGTGGAATGACTCATTTTGCATTGGTTGACTTCATTAGTTGTGCACCATTCTTAGGAGTCCCTGCTTGGCTTCTGTGTAGTGGTATTCACTCCCAGCACCCATTCATATGGGCAAGTCTGTGGGTGGCAAGGTCGCCACGTAGTGGTGGCAGAAACTGGCTGGGATGATGTAGTTGGGGATGGTCCTGCTTTGAGCCGGGGGTTGGGCTGGATGACCACCTGAGGTCCCTTCCAGCCCTAATTTTTTATGAGACTATGCCTTTTCCCCTGTAGGTGCATGTGTACCACATGTACACCAAAATTGGAAGGTTTCACTAGCAGCGCTGGTTGCGTTGCCGCACACCCCCTTGGTAACCTTGGGCTCCTATACACATGTAGGGAGCCTGCTCCAATGCACTCTTCCAGTGTGTTGGAGCATGGAAAATAACACTCTCCAGCAGCCCCCAGTGTCATGTGTATCAGCATCCCTGTGCTGAAAAATGACAGTGGGGTGCCTTAAACTAAAGCTGGTTCAGTGAGCTTTAGTTCAAAGTGCCCTACCACCATTTTTCAGTGCAGGGGCACTGATGCACATGACACTCTCTGGGTGCTCTTAATTAGCATGGCTGTCAGAGCTACACTAATTAAACACCCCTTGTGCCTTCAGCCAAGGCTATGGAAGATGGAGTTCTCCTGTGTCTTGCTCTAATTCCTTCTTGCCACAGGATAGTCTTTTTCTGTTAACAGCTATTGCTCCCTTTTCACTATGAATAGTTAGTAAGTAGGTTAAGAGGACTTTTTTTATTCCCAAACAAATTTTTATTTTGTTACTTAGGGTCTTGGAGTGCTTCATATGAGGCCATCATATTCAGAAGGTCCTCCTCTTGGGGTAGCTGTGACTACAAGTAGTGCCCATGCCTGCTACTTTATTGGCCTACAGAAAGGACCTAGAAAAAATTGAAGCATTTGTTACTCTGCCTTTGAGTCTGTCTGATCTCTGAGTCTCCCTTCTTTAACTGGAGAGGGAGAATGTTTTTGCTTAGGCATAGGAAGCTGTAGAGTTGGCAACCATGTCATAGTACTTAATCCAAAGAAAAAACAATAATAATTGTTTTATTCTCAGGGCAGCACAGAGAAGACACAGAAGAGTAAAAACATGGACTCGTCATATAAACATCTTTACTAAAGATTATATCTTTGTTCCTGTGAATGAGGAGTAAGTATGACCCGCACACTTTTGAAACTGATTTGTTGAGGACCATTTTCTGGGACTTAAAAATTCATAGGCTTGAAATTTGCTCTGATTAAAAGTCTGAAATACCTGAAGGCCTGAACCATTTCCACAAAAAAAAAGAATACTGGACCAATGAACCAGTGAATACAATAGAATCCAGTTACTTGTGAGCCATCAGCAGTAGAAACCAATGTCACTAGAAAAGCTGGAGAATCTTGCTTCTTAGAAATGAGTGTATTTTGTGCCTATCAAGATAAAGATTCACCATTTCCAGTATATCAAGGACAATCTCTGGCACATCAGAACATTAGATAAAAGGTCATAATTGGTGCCATAATCCAAATGGGATGGTTTTTAGGTCTCATTATCTGTCAGGGCTAGAATGCCTCTGGTTGATCAGTACAAACACTTGCAGGGCTGTTAAAGCTTTTCCAAGGACTCATTCTGACTTAACTGCTCAGGAAAAATAGATTCTGATTTAAAAATTAAATAACGATCAGTCTTAATCATTGTGATGAGCAAATAATTTAAAGTCCCTCAAAAATGTCATTTACAAGAAGAAGGGCATGCAAAAAGATATTTCTTTGTCTCCAATAAACTCTGTTTTGTGGACCTTTGCTTAACCAAAGAGTAGATTTGATTTTATTTCTTTAAAAGTTCCATATAAACTTCTCTGTTCTTTCCAAGCAACTTCCTGTAGAATGTAATACATAATATTCATAGTAGCAGAGTCAGTGCTAGTGGATAGGCTTGATTCTCCATTTACTTTGGATGCATGTACCCACCATTCTGCATACAGAGCAGCTGCAAAATGATGTCATATAAATATCAGGTTGGGAGCATACCATATTCCAGATTTTATCCATTATTTTGTTGTCCTGTGGGGCCAGGCCAACTCTCAGGATCTTAAAATTGTGCTGTTAGATGGGAGGGTGTGACAATTGTATGTGTGTACGTACGTACACACACACACACACACACACACACACACACACACACACGATTACCAGTCTAAGCACATGCACGCCTATCCCCAATTCAAGCGCATACACACTATACACACCAAAAGTTAGACAAAATCAGCTGCCAATACCCACGCACCCAATACACATACATGGATCACTAATTCGTATATCTCGCACACAATTATATATAATTTGCCAGTTCACACCACGCACCTAAACATACACACTGGTGAGTTCCTTACTTGGGTGGTATGGTGTATATGTATGTGCTTGGAGTACCTAGGGTGCTTGGTGACTATGGGAGGGGGAATTGAGGGTCAAAGATTTCCTTAAGGAGGGGAAGGAGGAAGATGGAGAGTGAAAGTGCCAGGAGTGAAAGTTGCTGGGGCCGGGATTAGAACCAGCAGACTGGAGGGGAAGCTGGGGTTACTTAAGGTCAAGTGGCCCCGGGGTTACTTGAGGTCACTGGGGCATGGGGTTACTTAGGGTTAATGTACCCTGGGGTTACTTGGGGTCACCTGGTGCTGGGGTGGAAGCAAGGGAAAAAGCCTGGTGGCAAGGAGGAGACGGCCAGGAGACAGAGAGACAGAAAGATGGGAGATGGGGCTGGAAACTAAGGCAGAAAGCTGGGAGATAGCTAGGAAATCAAGGAGGAGGGTCAGGAGGTCAAAAAGACAAAAGCCCAACTCGGGGTTTCAAAATAACAGGTTTATTAAACAGACAACACCCTATACAGCCCCACAAAGTTATTGGTTCCCACACACACACACATACGCACACAATTATGTACACACTCACACAATGGTAGCAGGAGAGAAAAAGGCCTGGTGGAGCGATTGAAGTCAGGGTGTGTAGAGACAGAGTCCAGATCTTTTGCTTGGGGAAGGAAGGTGGGTGATAGCTACCTATCCTGGGCTGTGAGTTGATCCTTGATGGCCAGTCAGGGTCTTCTCCAGCAAGGTGTTGTCCTGAGGGGGTTGCCGGCAGGGCCTCTGGGTGGATAGGTGGTGTGGTGCTGGTCCAGATAGAGGGGGCATCCCACTTGGTGTGTCTTCACTGCCTCCTTTTAGGATCATAGAAGGTCTGCTTCTATAGTGGCAGGGGCATACCCAGGCAAGGGTCAGCCCCTGGTGTACTGAGCATGTGCACTCCAGGCTTGGACATGCAGTTTCAGGTGTCTGTTAATGGCTGGTTTCTGCAGCAGTCTTTGTCTTCCAAATCTTAAGCCAGGGAGGGTCAAAGCAGGGTGATGGTTGGGTCATTGAGCTGATGGTCCAGTCATTGAGTTGATTATTCAGTAGAGGCCTGCTACCATTGTATCTCAAGCACCCTCATTCATCCCCATTCATTCAGGAACCAATTTGCATGAGATTGGTTAGACATGAGTCATAGGTTACACCCAGGCAGAAGACACAAGATGGAGGCTTGACATACAAAATGGAAACTTGACATTACTTATGCTAACTTACGCATGGAGGCCTAAATCATATAGTATCAATTAAAAAAAAAAACAGTAAAAATTGGTAAAACAGTATAAACATAATAATTATACAATATAAAACGGTGGATGAAAGAAGGAGAGAGGAAAAAAAAACTTGCCACAAAAATGCTAAAGCTTATCTCATGTCTTAGCTCACTCTGTCTTAGCTTACTCATACTTATCTATAGGGAATAGAGAGGAAGAGAAAAAGTGAGAAGTAGTTGGGGAAGGGAGGGAATGCATTTCCAAAGAAAAACAAAAAGAAAAACAGGGTTTTGCTACAATTTGATCCCTGCTCTTGATTGTCTGAGTAGGTGAGGGATGTTTGAAAATGAGAATCAGGCAGGAAAAATGCATGACAAAGAATAGGTGAGAATTTTTTGTGCAGCTGTGGCGAGGTTCAAATGTAGAAATATGTTATGAGGATTTGTATGTGATTGTATCCTTATAAATGAACATAGTAATGGTCGGAACTGATAAACAACTACCCTGTGGTCTCTATCACTTCACTGTTACAAAAGCTTTCTACAACTCTCTTGTATAGAATGCTGACCTTCCTGCCTTCTCCCCCCCCCACTTTCATTCTATGGACAGGTCTCATTGGTACCTTGCAGTTATTTGCTTTCCTGGGTTGGAAGCAGCTGTGTATGAAGATTGTCCGAACCAGTGCCTCCTGCAGCCCCAGATTAAGCACTCTCTACTTCGTTCAAAAAAAGAGACAGAGGCTGTTAGAACCAGTACAGTCCTGGTCTTTGGTGATAACTTTAAGGATGAAGAGGAACTGGATCTAAACAGCAGTCTGCATTTGAAAGGTAGTCATAAATAGACATAATGGTAATGAAATTCTTACAGAGCTTCAGCCAAGAGTGAATTCTTAAAATGAGCTACATATGTTAGCAAAGAAAGTGCAATTCAGCACAAAACTGGTGTAATGGATTTTCTGGTGCAGTTGATTTTGCAGATTACCATACATTGTAAAGCTTATTAGGGACAACATTGTGTCCTTGCACATAAATGCAAATGGAATTTGAAATCAAAGGCATAATGTGTCTACATGAATGTCATAGTAGTCATAGTATGTCTACTACTGGGATCTAGTTCTCATCAATGTTGATTTTAAAAAGTTGATCCCCACAAAGACCAAGACATTCAAATATTGCATAATTCAAACAGATTATACTTTCTTTTAACAACTTTCATTTATTGTCTCATGCCAGATGGTGATCAGCCTACTACTTTGTTCTCTGCCTTGGATTCAAATCATTCCAAAGTAAGTGTCTTTATATACTGATAGAGGACTGTGAAGTCTTTATGAATCTTACTTACTTTACTATTGTTCTTTGCAAAGTAGGTTGATTGCAAAAACATGTGCATTATATGTAGTGAATAGAGAAATAACTTCTACTAATACTTTTAATAGATAAAACCTAGAACTTCTGGGGAGTCTAAAATACAGACAGGAATACCACACCACAGTAAAGAACAAGCTTCAATCTTTAGAAGGTTGTTCTATGAATGTTACAGAGAATGTTTATACTGAATGAGCGGCTATTAGAGATACAGAAAAGAAAGCTACCAAACAAGACAGGAAGAACTGATATAAGGATTAAGGAATTATTAGATTAAGGCTGTTGGAAAACTTTTGAGGTTTGTTGTGCAGCAAGAAAGTATTTATCTGTTTCCAATTAGGTTGCTTTTGGTGTCTTTGGGCAATATGCCTTGTAGTTGTGCAGCAAGGTTGATTGTGTAGTTTTAGGAATAGTTTGGACAAGGAAGGAAAACATGAAACAATTTTTTATATAGCAACAGCTCTGGTGGACAGGACACATAGTAAGTAGAGACATACCTAAATTGGGTTCTTCATGGCCCGCTTGCAGTATGCAGAGCCACTTTCATGGGCAATTCATGGTGGCCCTGCTCCTTGCTGCTGATTTTAACCAGGAGGTCCTGGCTGGTGGACAGCTGCCCTTTATTCAGCTCCACCCCTCACCGCTGATTGATGGAGAGGCCCTGGTTGGGGAGGAGGTACAAGGAGCCAACCACCCTCTTGGCTGCCCTTGTTCATGCCACTCTGCCAACCGGTACCTTCCTCCTCCCCCACTGGGCTGTGAGGCCAGGCGGGAGTGGCCATGAGGACTGCTGGCTCACACTGGGGACCCTGCATTTTATTTTTAGTAATTTTTTTTTCCAGGTGATTCCACAGGAAATTGCAGCAAATGCCAATTTTCATGGCAACTGTGGAAACCACTGTTTTTCACAGTTTCTATGAAAATCGTGAAAGCACCATTTAATTAGGTCCCTAATCATGAGGATACCTGACATCACTCTTGAAACAGGTCCTATACTCCCAGTTTGCTGATGGTCACCACTCCAGAGGTGGGCAAAAGAAGAAGTTCAAGGACACCTTGAAGGCCAATCTGAAGAAATGTGACATTAATATCAGTACTTGGGGAACTTGAGCTCTGAATTGCTCCCTGTGGCACCATGATGTATGACAAGGTATTGGTCATTTAGAGCAAACTCACCTCAATATAGAAGCAGCTGGCTGAGGGAGACAAAGGGAAAGAATCAACATTACCAAGAGCCACTCCTTCCCAGAACTATATGCCATGTGTGCCAGGTCAAATATGGATTTTGGATTGGCTTCTTCAGCCATCTCTGGACTCAACAATGACTCCCCTATCTAGTGGAAGACTGTTCTCCTCATATAGGGGGACTGCCAATGACAGCAAGGAGAGAAGGACTTGTATGGGATGATTTGGATATGGCTGATCCTACCCTGAGAAAGGGGTTAGATTAAATGATCTCCAGGTGTCCCTTCCAGACCTACGTTTCTACAATTGTATGAACTGCCATCTGTCTTATATTGAGGAATCTGATAAAACCAAAAGAGGAACAAAGCATCTGATGTATCACCACAAGAGAGTATATATAGGGGTTGGTGGAGAAAATGAAGCAGAATAGAAGCACTGAAAGCATGGAAGTGATCTACACAAGTATCAGTGTATTTGGGAAAAGAATACCTTATATGAATGAGTCTTGTAAAGGATGGAACTTGAAGACTTTTGATTATAAGAGTTTACAGAAAGATGGAGAGAGTATTTTAATGAACTGCTTAATGGTGGAATTGATAAAAGTGGGCAGTGAACAGCTATTTTTCCAGACACCTTGTCATTTGTGGAATAACTAGATTTTGAAGAGTTCTAAGAGGCAAACAGAATAGCAACTTCTCCTCATTCCTCCACACATACAAAACACCAGGTATTTGAAAATGTTCCCAGTGTATGTTAAAAGCAAGAGGTGATAAGCTATGTCAAAGATTTCACAGGCTAACTTTGTCAGTTTAGAGGTTTGAAAAAATGTGAAACAAATGAAGAGGCATTCGCATGTCCAATTTTACAGAGAGAGACGCGCACGCACACACACAATGCATTGTAAAAACTCTTGTGTCATCTCATTCTTCGATATAGAATCCCTTTTTTGGTACTTTTATATCAACTTATCCCTTACACAGAGGAAAAATTAGAATATGTGTGTCTCAGAAAAAAGCATCAGATATTTTGCATCAGATATTTTTAATGTGTCAAATACTTCAGAAGAGAGGGGAATATAACAAGAAGTCCTCTGAATCGCAAAGAAATAATTTAGAATTCCTGATGTAATTACTATGATGGTACAACTGTGTTGTGGGCAGTTCAGAAATTAGAGTCCCTGGGGAGTGAAATATCTTCCCTGTTTGACATCTGGAAGTAGGGGGTGGAGGTTGTAAAATATTCTTTAATATGGACATGGGTCAAGTGTAGCAGTATCAGTAAAATTTTCCAGGCGAGGTGAATTTTAATGTCATGCACCATTTTTTTTGATGGCTTGCTTTATTTATTTGGCTGTCATAGAAGCAAAGGAGGTAGAAGAAATGTTAGGCAAAGAAGATATGGTACAGAAGGCAAAGATTTGAAGGAAGTGGCCAGAAAAATGGCACCTAAGATTAATTAAAATCAAATACATGATTGCAAGATTATGAGAGGATCTTGGATAAGCCATTGATAAGCATCAGTAACAAGTGAGGAAGTCTAAATTCCTAGGAGCATTAATTACTAACGACTGTTTGATGAGGGAGAAAATTACAGTTGAGAGTGGGAATATGTCGTATTTTTGTCAGAAATTTTTTTAGCTCCAAATAATTTTTGAGAAGAGACTGTGGTTAAAATAAATAAGGCCATTATACAAATTTTTATATAGATATACCACCAAAGCATATACTAAGTAGGAAGAAACACAGAAGAATACTTTTAAAAAATAAAGAATTGAGATAAGGGTTTGTGCCATTAAAGAAAAATATTTTGGGAAGTTTTAAGAAGGAACTACAGTTGATCCGTGAAGAACAAAGTAGTGAAACGTAGAATAATGTCATTAAATTCCAGTGACTTCAGTGGACAGAGCATTGTGGGTAGGGAGATGGAAGAAGGGTAAGCTACATGTCTCTTGTAAGGCCATTCCAGCAGTGTTTGATCTCGTGATTGACCAAGGGGAAGATGGGGGGGATAATACCAAGCAAGACCAAAGAGCTCTTAATGTAAATGACTGGCAACTGACCCTTAACAGAAGGTGTTGTAGGCAGGTTGTCTGTGGACAAAGCACCCTTACAATCTGTAGAACCAAGGAATTGTTGTTACAGGAATACATTTAATAGCTGGACCTTGTAAAACTTCAGTGTAGTTGAGTGTGTTTGTTTTCTCCACTGATGAATAAAGTATAATTTATTCATTATGAATACAATGAAGAGCAGAAAAAAATATTTTGTTTTCAGGCTAGATTTTCATGAGAGTTTTTTTTTGGGGGGGGGGGGGGGGGG